AAAACAAGGTAAAAAGAGTAGATTTACAAAATCATAAAAACATGATTCATATTTCACTTTTAAAGAAGTAACAAGCCCCGGTCCTGTGTTTTAGTAGGACTATTAATTATTGAACGGAAAAATGCATTTTAAAAAGGCCTAGGTGAGGGTTAATTATGGACAACTTTCAGCCGGTATAACAGTTTGTGGTGCTTTGAGTTGATTGTATGTTATACATGGAAAAATTCTGTTGCATAGCATTTTGATTCCTTGAATTGCTCTATGTGCCTTTGAAGTTAACTGGAAACTATGAAAGATGTATTTTTTCTTTTAAAGTTGAGATGTTTGCCTCTTGGAAGATTACCACTGCCTTTGCAAGACATCTTTTAACATATTAGTTAGCAAAAGCAGAATGATTCTTCATCAGAAAATCATTTCTTTTTCAAACATGGATAAAACATGGATAGCTTAATACAAAAGAAACACAAACCAATCTATCAGTAGTCATCATAGACAAAATTAGAGGTCAGAAGGACCAAGAATGTAATCCTGTCACAGCTGTACATAATGGACAGAAAATTCCAATTTCCACTTTTGAGTCACTAAAAGTTTTTGCATTAAAAAAACCTTTAAATTTTTTGACAGATTGCTGGATATTGACAGATCTGTCCTCTTTTATTCACTTCCATTCTACAAAACCTTGCAGAAGAGGCAATATCATATGCATCCCAAGTGTAGAATAAGACCACTTCAATATTTAAGATTATATAAGGAGTAGTAAAAAGTGAAGCTGTAATTGCTACTCATAACTTCCCAAAGACAAAATTTATCAACTTTTGCTATTCTTAAAGTTAGAATAATTTAGCAGGTAACAAAAAAGTAGAGAATCCTTGCATTTAGGGAACACCTTCTTTAAAATTAACTTATAAGTGTGAAATAGGGTTGTTTTGGTGTCAAAATATATCAAAGAGAAGACCTATTGAACTTTGTATGCTGAAAACCCACAATCTAATCCAAGCATTCAACATACTTTAGGTAAAAGCAATTTCTATACAATTTCAAAAAGCAAGTAGAAATAAAGCCTACTTCTTAATTTTAGGCTAATAAGGCTAATATACTAAATCTTACATTTTATGGAAATAAATTCTCTCCGAACTGATTGGAATGCGAATAAAATCAAGTTTGTTTGCTGGTTACTATCTGCTGCTGGAATAACATAACTCTAAACCCAGACTGCTTCAATTACCACTTCACTTACTTGGAGTTTTAATTGTTAATTCTACCAATTGTTAATGATTGCAGAATTGTATATATATTGGGATTTCCTAAGTGGTGATAAACATTTTAGTAAGATCATTATATTCATATATTTTGCTGGATTCCTAAGTAATAAAATTGATTTTCCCTTAAATGTAGGATTATAGCAGCACTAGGAGCAAGTTTCTGTTTGTGTTCAGTTCCAATCATTTCAATATAAGCTGTATTGGATTTATAAAGAATTTTACAAGACACTATGTATTAGGACTGTTACATAGCATCCACAATTATATAATTTTACTATTAAATGTAGAGATGTAATAACATTCTTTCACCTTACTGTTGGGCTGGATACACAGGAGGCTATTCTTATTTCACTTAGAAATAGTGGCAATTGAGATATGAATTTTTAGAGTCTTCAACTGATAACGCATGCATGTATCCAAGTATTTCTGTTCAAAAGAGATTAGGGTTTTTTCCTTGCAACTAAAGTTCTATGAAATATTTTAACACTGTTGGTAGTGTATTTAAAATCTCCATTTATAATCCCATTTAAAGTGAATTTGAAGAGCACAGTTCAGCCTGCATTAGCATTGTTGCATGTTCTGTATTACAAATAATCAGGCAGTCTTGACCCTATTGAGAAGTGCTACACCTCAAAATTAGCATATTACAGCTATGCAATAGTAACCATGAATAATCTTAAAGTACTGTGTTCAAGAATGCATTTCAAGTTATTAGACAACTAGATGTCGGATCTAATTTCATGAAATAGTATTCAGTATATGGTTGATTTGTTAATCTTTTTTTATACAAAAGCATTTGTGTGCACTTGATACATACTATTGAAGTATTATCTGCATGAAGATATGTTGAGTCATTGTCATCTTTAACAGAAGAGAAAGAACATCATGGCAAAAGAGAACCATTATCATGCAAGGCACCAGTCAGTAGTTAAGAGCCATTTTCAAACTGCTTTGTCAATAAGCTGCTCTAGGCATTCTTACCATTTGTGTTTCAATTACCAATTACTTGCTTAAAGAGGAATAATCCTAGCTAAAAAAAAAATAAAAAAATACCAACAAGAATTTAACACAAAACCCAAAATGATCTACTTTTGAGCAAACCATTTGCATCATTAGAAATACAGTATTTAGACATATACAATAAAATACATCAAGTTGCTGGTAGGAAACATTTTTCCATTCACATATAGATAAGAAATGTTTTTTTAAAAAACCCCAAACCTGCTACCTAAGTATTGTAAAGACTCAGATTTGGGAATGAAGAAACTAAAAACCTGTGTCCCATGCAAAATATAGTTAGGTACAAGGCACCATTTTAAACTTTAAAAAATTGTTCATAAAGTTTTATCAGGAGGGAAAATTAATCCTATACCCAACTTTCACTCAATTCATAAACATAATAGTTAGCAATACTGTTGGATGTGGCTGCAATTTGTGCTGGGGATAATTGTTATTTCAAAATTAACTTGTTCACTTTCCTTAGATATAACATTCATAAAATATGGAATTCTACAATCAGAAAGAGATTGTATATATAAAGAGACATGCTTTTTTCTTAGCATCTCCTTCTGAATCCATACAACACATTTACTTGTGCATTTTAATTTCTGTGTGTAGAAATTTTCCCTGAAGTGAATGAAAACAGCTCATTCAAAAGTAACAGCAATAAAAAAAGAGGTCTCCATAGTTCAGCTTTACCATACAATAAAGAAATGTGCTAGGATATTGCCCTAATTTATTTCCTTGATATAGTTGGTAATATTTTCCATTGTTATCTAATAGGAAAAATAGCCATTATTTTCTTTTTTTCCCTTCCTATGCGTTGATTTTTTTTTATTAAGAGCTGTTTATTCTGCAAATTTTAGAGATACAAGTATATCAAATTAATACAATCTGATTTACATTTGATTAGATACTCCTGTAAAAAAATTATATCCTGAATTGCTTCCCTCAATTTTATTTTTTATCACTAAGTTTTGGCAGTAGGCATAGAATTAGCTGATTTAAATATTAAATGTAGCCAGCTTACGTTTGTAGGTTTTAAAAGTTGTTTCCCAAAGATGTTTATGAGAAGTAAGTTACTCAAGTTAATGGGCTTGCTCCCTAGTTAGCATTCTTAGGATCATGTAACTTAACATGACTAAACTACTACCAGGTACGTATATGCTTTTAGTCATATCTTTGCTGGTACACTATGTTTTGTGTGAATGAATCACTACTCTATGACAATTATTTTCAAATCAGGGCTGGTTGACCCTGTCAGCCCTGCAAGTAATACATATGCAAACAAAGGAGTTGAATGTGGCTAGAAAAAATAATAAGGGAAGACATGGTATCATTTATTATTCTGTTAGGCTTCAATTATAATGGCAATAGATAGAATTATCATTTTTTTTTCATTTTCTGCCAACTAGGACACTTTAAAACAGTGTACAAAGAATAGCAAGAACACCGCTTGCAGCAGATATAAAAGAAACAGCATAAAAATGCTATACACTTATCGCTTCCAAATAAAAGCTAATATTACAGAAACCTCACAGTGTTGGGAACAGCAAGCTCAATTCAAAAGTAAGTTACTTCCATCTCTTAAGATAACTCTTAATTGCACATTTTTATATCCCATGGCACTATTACTCACATGAGAGACTATGACTTTTCAAATCTTGGGAAATGTAAAACATTCATGGCTATCAATACACCCACCTCTCTGTTATCTTCCCTCTATATGTCTCCTATAAGTGTCAGATGTTCCTATTTACTCAAATATGGATCTAATACTCAATCAAACAGTGAGTATTAATGGAAGCTGTGCCAGCTTTTGATCAATCTTTCTAGTTTGGCTTTTTCTAGAGGTGGGTAACCTTTGAGGCTTCTACAGTTCTGAATACCTCACAATGATAAATTCTGCATCAGCCACAAGGACAGGAAAGAAGGTAATAGGTATGCGAGAAAGCTCAAGAACTCAAACCTCTCACAGAATCCATGAATTAGAGCCACCGAGAACCCTCTCAAAATTGTCTAGCTGCCAGGCAGCATTTTCCTTTATTTATGAGAGTAGAAACAACTGTAGTGTTACATGTAAGATATTCCTGGGGATGTTGTGAATTATTGTGGTGGGGTAGGGTGGGGTGGAGGTAGGGTAGCAAGATATTTTATGGCACTCAACAAGGAAGACAGTAAGAAAACAAATAATGGGAGAAAACTGAATTGGTAAATGCAAATGGCAGTGGCTGAAAGATCTTAGTTTATAAAAATGACCACCTTTCACTTTTGTTTTGAGATTCTTGAATAGAGGAATAATCTGAAATAATGATAATATTGAAGGGAAATAAGTAAGGCCTGCACGTCAGCCCCAACTATCTTTCCTGGAGATAATCTTTACCAAGCTTTTCACGTTGTAAAAATCATCGTGCTGATTTTTGCACTTTAATTCACCTTTCAAAGTCAATCTTACCAAAACAAAAGGTCTGCTCCTTGATTCAAGTTATATTACATTGCTTAAACGCCTCTTAATAATTACAGTAGTTGAACTGTGAATTTATTATCAAGAATGCTTCTGCTAAAAAAATCTTTCTGGAAAGGTAATTATGTTGTTTTATAAGTCACATCCGGGCTCTTGAGTGTTCCTATCTGTTTGACTGGAAACTGTAATTTGACAATCAGAAAGTGAATCATAACACTGCATATAGGAATCCCATGCACTTCAATATAATCCCTAGCAGGATGAGAAGAGACAAGTTGGTAGGTTTTTCTTTATTTTGTGATTCAATTTCATCAGGAATTTGCTGATGGATTTAAAACACCAATTCAGAATTACCACAAGAGAGCACATGAAAACATTGCATGTGCTAGAACCATGTCCATTTTTGTTTAAAAAACCCCCCAGCTTGACACTATCACATTTGTGTTGGGTTTGTCGCAGATCTTCATAGACATTGATTTCTCCCACTCTGCTGAAAGCTGAATCTTAAGACACAGCAATTTATATTCTTGGTTGACTAGTACAGCTATTAAAGACCCTGTGAATTTTTCAAGGTTATGTACAAACCAGCAAAAGAATCCATTTCATGTACCTTGAGTGAATAATACAGAATTTGTATGCTATATTTCTTTGCTGAAAGGTAGCAAGTTGTTTGGCTGCAATGAGGTCTGTATTTTTCTAAGTATGACCCTCACAAAGAACTGAAACAGTGGTAGTCATGAAAGGTTAAAAGTAACCATGATAAATTGGATGTTAGTGATATTTAAAGTTTACATGAAGTGGTCAGGAGCTCTTCCTTTAAGAGATACAGTATACTAGAATTTTAATGTTAGATTTCCAGAGCTGTATATGTATAATGTCTCTGAGACAGCAAGAACAGCAAATAAGGGAAAAAGAGAATATAGGTGCACAGTTTAGGTGCAATCTCTTTCACTATAAGACTCCAAAATAAACCTCTTTAAGACTTCCCAAAAACACAACAAAGGGAAAACTGAATGGAAAAATGGTCATGAAAAGGAGATATTATTAAGGTGAAATGATCTTGTCACTCTATGTAATGGCTACTATATTCCTGACCATTTTTTTTATATATGCAAAAGCTTTATGCATTTAGGGTAAGAGTTCAATTTTAAAAATCTGCATTTGTTGAACCACGTGTCATTAATACTGAAAACCTAAGCTTCACTGTAAACCTGAATGGATTCAGAAGACCTATTCATGCAGTGATCATAAGATAAACAGTAGATGACGAAAATCTTGAAAGTAATGTATCCCATATTAACTGTTATAATTACACAAGAAAAGTTAGATGGCAAATTTAGTTTACGTAGCTGTCTTGTTAGCAGTTAATAAGATTAGGTGGGAAAGAAAAACAGTATTTGTAATTTTTAGCACAGATTCAAATTGAAGTATGCAATAAATTACTCAGATGTGTATATAATTTCTACTTTTGTTCATTCCAACAGATTGGGGTAATTGTAGGATACAAAATTTTGTTTTGTTACCCAAAAGATATAAACAAGAACCAATGATCATATTTTCCCAGTTTAGAAAAATCATTGTTAAAGAGTTTTTGTATAGTACAATTCTATCTACCTAAATTATGTTGGTCGGAAAGAACAATATATTATAATTGGCGAATTATTTACACCAAGAAGTGCAACAACAGTTCACCACATCAACAGAATAGAGATAGAATTCTACTATTCATTTGTTTTCTTAAGTAATGTATAGATTTACGATCAGTTGAATGGCTTTGTATCCTGGCTGTACACAGAAGTTTTGAATGTACCTACTTTTTTATACCACATAGCAATTCCTCTTTGAAAGAAAATAAATGGTCGTACACATTGGAGGCTGTTACTCTTTTTGGGGGAGGAGGAAGGGTTTACAAATGCACCTGCCTTTTAAAAAAAAATAGATGTTCTGCTACAATCTTATAGAACAGAGTTGCACAATGCACATAGTAGGAGGACCAATTTTCCAGACGGTGGATCCAAAATTCTTGCAACAATATTTGTTCCTGCCTAGATGAATTAATTCCAAAGGCTTTTGAAAAAGAACCAGTTGATTGAGAAAAATGTCTCCTTTCAGGGGAGTGTCAGTCTTCTAACATTATGTTTAGACAGCACCTGAGCTTGAAGTTGTGTTTCTGAGATACTTGCTCTGCCCTGTATAGTTCTTTGTGTATAAAAAAGAATGTACGCTTGGGTTTTGCATACCTCCTCCACGCTACATACATTCAGTTTGGAGTCATTGCAGTGGACCCAAAACCCTAAAAAGGAGAAAAAAAAAACATAGGATATTAATGGCATTTTTAAATAATCATTGGGAGAAAAACATCCAAAAATAATGCAATCAATTCCATAAGCCCAAGAGAAGGTTGAGAATTCTGACTGTGCCTTAAAAAGACTCTTGATTTCAGTTTTTTTGTTTCACTGATATTTCTGAGTGATAATTAAGAGAAAAAACAATTCTAATTCTTCCTACAGAAGGCTGGAAAAATGTAATACAACATTTTGTAAAGAAGTGCAATAACTAATTCGAGCGGAAGCAAATTCTTCATTCATAGATTTCTCAAAAGTTTGTTTTTCAGCTTAAGCAGTAGAAACATCAATCGCTCTGATTCTCTGTCTCACATAGACACAGACAAATAAAATGCAAGCCTGAGAAAAAAACCTTTTAAAAAAAACAACAAGTAATAAAGTTTCTCCTCATTGTGTTTAAGCTATGGAAACATAATAGATTTTTTTATTCTAATGTTATTATTAGTGCAGTGAAAGCTGAGCAATATAAACTTACACAAAACAAATATGTTTTTATGGAAGAGATAAATTTATACGATGCATTAACTTTTCCCCCTGTAATAAGGCTCACGCACCTCCCTCTGTGTTGTAGCAATATGCCGTGTAATGTCCTGAGCCAAACCCTTTCCCGTGATGCATCACCACAGCCGAGAGGTCATAGACAAAGGTCTCTTTGTCAAGAGAGGAGAAAGTATCCCTGCAGCAGTAAGGTTCCATGTTTAATACCTGGTCAAAGAGGACATGGACCCCAATCTTCTCACGGTGATTACGTCCAGACCACCTGCAATTTGAAAACATTTAATCAAAAGGACTTTTAAAATGAAACAGGATCAGATGCAATATCTTTGAAAAAAATATATACTAATTATTGTCATTATTGTATAAATTTTCAACTAATATTTTTTTCAAGTTTACTTGACATGCATTTAATATATGTTTTATAACATTGTTATAACCTAATTTCTCTATTTGAAAACTATTGTTTTTATTTACTAAATCCTTGACATATTTTCTGAAATAGATAATAAGATAAATGTATTTATACTAGGGCTATGATTCTTAATGTCCTGGAAAACTACCAACATTGATTATACTGCCAGATATAACAAATATGTTGTTTTAACCATTTAGTCGTGTCCTACTCTTGGCAATTTTACAGGCAAGTACTCTCCATTTTACTCTCTGAAGCACAGCTTCTTTCAATCGTTGCAAGTTCATCTTTGTATCAGATTTGATGTTATCAAGCCAGCATGTTCTTTGCTTGTCCCTTCTTCTTGTTCCACTAACCATTCCTAGCATTATTGCCTTCTACAATGAATTTGAATGCATGAAATGGCCAAAGTAATACGCAATAATTTTTGTCAGCACCACAGTTCAAATGTGTCAATTCTTTGATCAGCCATTCTTAATGTCCAACTTTCACACCCATAGAACATTATAGAGAAAACTTTTGCTTTAACTAGTCTGCATTGTATTTATATCAATATCTCTGTTTTTCCAGATCTTATTCATGTTAATCATTGTAGTGTGGCCTAAGATTTTTCCTGCACTTGATTTCAGGAGTAGAATTGCCATTGTGAACAATTTTGGATCCAAGGAAGAAAATGTCTTCCTTATTTTCAGCCAATAGTGTTGTATCATCTGCATACCTCAAATTATTTATGGTTCTTCCCCCAATCTTCACTCCAACATCAGGCAGTTCCAGATCTAATTTCCGCATGTTCACTTCAGCATACAGATTGAACAAAAAAAGGGGATAAAATACATCCCCATCTAACTTATGGCAATACTCAACCTGACTCAGATAACAAATGTAGATATTGATATATATTTCCTAGAAGAAAATATTCTTTTTCTTTTTCCCTTAGAAATCTATGATGTATAGAACAATAGCATCGTGTCTGATCACTATCAATCAGCTCAACAAAAGAATTCTCATTACTGCAAGTTAATACTACATGAAACTTTTTCAACTATGGCTGAATCCAAGCATAGAAATGTTATAAACAAAATTCAAAATCTTCAAAGAAATGGAAGCAACTGAATTATTTTTAAAAGTTATATAAATATAAAATTTTCAAAGGCCAGAAGTAATTTTACTGTAAACTGATCTTTAAAAGATATGAATTTTTTTCCTAATTTTACTAATTATGCAATTATGCAAATCTTTGCAATCTGCTTTGAGAGTCCATTTGACAACCATTAGTGAGTAGAGTAGAGTAGAACAGGAGCTGGAAGGGACCTTGGAGGTCTTCTAGTCCAGCCCCCTGCTCAAGCAGGGGAATCCTATACCTATTTCACTTAAAATAGACAAAGAGCTGGAATTATATTACCAGCATTTTCAACTGCTATGTATATAGACATACTCCACTGGCAGTAGTATTCCTAGGCAAATGGTTGAATCATATCCTATCATTTCTATACCCTAGGCCAGGGGTAGGCAACCCAAAACACTCAAAGAGCCACTTGGACCCGTTTCCCACCAAAAAATAAAACACCGGGAGCGGCAAAACCCTTTTGATATCTAAAATGAAGATAACACTGCATATATCCTTTTTTACCTTTATTATAGGTGTGTGCGCGCGTGTGTGTATGTATGTATGTGTGTGTGTACACACACACACACACACACACACACACACATTAAAAATAAAAGTAAAAATATGACTCTTGGGAATATCCATACTATTAAAACAATGATCACCAAGAGAATGTAATAGTAATAGTAATAGTAGTAAGGTTGGAAGGGACCTTGGAGGTCATCTAGTCCAACCCCCTGCTCGGGCAGGAAACCCTACACCATTTCGGACAAATGGCTGTCCAGTCTCTTCTTAAAAACTTCCAGTGTTGGAGCATTTACTGCTTCTGGAGGCAAGCTGTTCCACTGATTCTTGTTCTCTCCTTTAGTTCTAGGTTGCTTCTCTCCTTGATTAGTTTCCACCCGTTGCTTCTTGTCCTGCCTTCAGGTGCTTTGGAAAATAGCTTAATTCCCTCTTCTTTATGGCAGCCCCTGAGATATTGGAATACTGCTATCATGTCCCCCCTTGTCCTTCTCTTCGTTAAACTAGACATACCCAATTCTAGCAGCCGTTCCTTATATGTTTTAGCCTCCAGTCCCCTAATCATCTTTGTTGCTCTTCTCTGTACTCTTTCTAGAGTCTCAACATCTTTTTTACATCGTGGTGACCAAAACTGGATGCAGTATTCCAAGTATGGCCTTACCAAGGCATTGAAGAGTGGTATTAATACTTCACGTGACCTTGATTCTATCCCTCTGTTAATGCAGCCTAACATGCTTTAAGAGAATAAAATTACATACACACACAGGTTAAAAAAAGGATATATGCAGTGTTATCTTCATTTTAGATGTCAAAAGGGTCTGTCTCTCTCCCTCCCTCCCTCTCTATCTGCCCTTGGTCTGCCACTTCTCTTCCCCCACTCCATCTCTCTCTCTCTCCCCCCCCTCTCTCTTTCTCTCTCTCTCTTTCTCCCCCCCCCATCTGCTGCTCACCTGGCAAGCTTCAAGCTGTTGTCCAACAAGCTCAGGGGTAAGCAACCTCGTCTCTTTTATGACTCATGGACTTCAACTCCCAGAATTCCTGAGTCAGCCTCGCTGGGCTAGCTAGCTCTCTCCTGCCCTTCCTGCTTCCTGCTTCCTGCAGAGACGCAGCAAAGGGAGGAGCTCCGCCCAGTAAGCTTTTCAGCTCCTCGGAGAACACTGTGAGTGCACTCTCTTTTATATACAGAGAGAGAGAGAGAGCGAGAGAGAGAGAGAGAGAGAGAGAGAGAGAGAGAGAGGGAGAAGCAGGGAAGCGCAATTGCCTCTCTCTGTCTCTGTCTCTCTCTGCAAAGGCAGAGGAGGCTGGGAGCCACAGGGGAAGGCTCAAAGAGCCGCATGCGGCTCCGGAGCCGCAGGTTGCCGACCTGTGCCCTAGGCCAGGGGTAGGCAACCCAAAACACTTAAAGAGCCACTTGGACCCCCGTTTCCCACCAAAAACAAAACACTGGGAGCCGCAAAACCCTTTTGATATCTAAAATGAAGATAACACTGCATATATCCTTTTTTACCTTTATTATAGGTGTGTGTGTTTTGTGTGTATGTATATGTGTATGTGTGTGTGTATATATACACACACACACACATAAACACATACACACACACAGGTAAAAAAAAGGATATATGCAATGTTATCTTCATTTTAGATGTCAAAAGGGTCTCTCTCTCTCGGTCTCTCTCTCTCTCCCTCCCTCTCTATCTGCCCTTGGTCTGCCACTCCTCTTCCCCCGCTCTTTCTTTCTCTCTCTCCCTCCCTCTCTCTCTCTTTCTCTCTCTCTCTTTCTCCTCCCCTCCTATCTGCTGCTCACCTGGCAAGCTTCAAGCTGTTGTCCAACAAGCTCAGGGGTAGGCAACCTCGTCTCTTTTATGACTCATGGACTTCAACTCCCAGAATTCCTGAGTCAGCCTAGCTGGGCTAGCTAGCTCTCCTGCCCTTCCTGCTTCCTGCTGAGATGCAGGAAAAGGAGGAGCTCCGCCCAGTAAGCTTTTCAGCTCCTCGGAGAACACTGTGAGTGCACTCTCTTTTACACACACACACACACAGAGAGAGAGAGAGAGAGAGAGAGAGAGAAGCAGGGAAGCGCAATTGCCTCTCTCTGTCTCTGTCTCTTTCTGCAAAGGCAGAGGAGGCTGGGAGCCACAGGGGAAGGCTCAAAGAGCCGCATGCGGCTCCGGAGCCGCAGGTTGCCGACCTGTGCCCTAGGCTGACCCTAGTAGATTTTAATGTCAAGTTTTAGAACGTCTTCCCTTAAATCGCAACTTAAAAGAATTCTAACGCAATAATTTTAATCCTTATGTTAGAAGAGGGATAATAATTTTTGCAAATATAGCAGATGTTTAAATTTGGGAACTTTCTTTACAAAAGTGAATATACATGAAGAAATAATATAATGGGCTTTTTTCAGAATTGTTCAGCAACAAACAGTACACTAATATTTTACTATGTACCTCATATTTTTACAAGTAGCTACTTTCTTTGTTCTCTGTAACCATTTCTTTCAGAAAAATTAAAAAGGAATGTAAAACTTTCTTCCAATTCTCTTCAAAAGTAATATGACATATGGGTGTTACATTTAGTACTCTAGAAATAATATAGTAATAACTATACTGCCATTTCAGATACAAAAATGACTCCACATTTCTACACCTTCTATTCACCTGAATCGTTTAAGGTGCAGCCGGAGGACCTGAGGTAGTCTGTAGATCATTAACTGCTTTTTAGCTTCACTTAGAATAAGAGGTTTGGGAGAAGACTTCCGTCGTTTGCCTATGTAACATTTAAGAAAGAACACAGTTAAAGTCTTCCATCTTCCAATAAAAAAGTTGTGCACAACAAGTTGTCTCCATAATCTAAATAATAAAGTTGGAAAGGATAAACATTCCTGGAATTTCTGCTAATACCTCTTTCAACTTTTTTTTTTTTTTTTTAGTTTTAGTGGTTTGGGGAGTTGCTTTTTTAAACTTTAACATGTCTATTTTTAGGGCTATGATTTTCAATTTTCTACTTCAAAACGGTGGGAATATTACTGTATATTTTCATCAAGGAAATTCCAAGGACCACAAAGAAGGTGCTCAAGTGATATGAGGTCTTGAGCTGCAAGTTGCTCTCTCTTGAAGTATGGGATTGTAGCCCAATTTCTTTAGCTATACATGGACTAGTTATGGATTTCAAAGCCAATTTGGTTCTTATTTCATGAAGGAATTAGCAGAAAAGTTATAAAAAGAAAAATCTCTTACCCAGAAAGTTTTTAAAAAAATACCAATTAAACATTAAACACAGTGAGAATAAAAAATAAAAGACAAGCAATAAACAGTTTGCTTCTCACTCTCTTTGCTATTTAAAGGACTGCCTGTGCCAAGTTCAGTGTTTCCCTTTCATAGTTCCCTTTTGTTGGCCTCTGTGGGAACCAATATATATGCACTATTTTTCTGAGCCTGTGAAGTGCAACATGAGGCTTGAATATATATATGCATTGCACTATTGCACTGTCACGTTTAAAGTTCCAAATGCGGAAAATTCAAGACAGTCTCTTGATTCAAATTTGAAATCTACCTGCTCCAAGTCATCTATATATACTGTAGCATTTCAAGAATTCATGGCATGACTAGAACATTTTATTTCAAACATTACATAGTCCTCAACCTATTACCACTTGTTTACTTCAGAGTTAAAGTGGTACTGAACCAACAGTACTTATGATTGATCCTCAAAGTTCTGACCATTGCCATGTCACATGATTGCCATTTGCAACCTTCTTTGCCAGCTTCCCACCAGCAGAGTCAATGGAAAAGCTGGCAGATAAGATCCCAAGTCACTTCTGCTGCTTTTCCTCTTGAGGAGCCTCACTATGAAGTCCCCAGGGATCTCATACTCAGAAGCACCCCTATCTGTTCTCTGTAGCATGTGCCTCCTGGCAGCACCTCTTGCTTCGTGGTGTGAATCCCTGGCAGCATCTCCCACAGCACCCACCCCTCAGTGCCCGCCCACGGCTTCTGCTAACATAGCTGTGACCACCACCAGCCCACTCACTCTCCATAGGGCCTGGCTGTGGCACCCCTCCCCCCATGATCCTTGCCTGGGACCTCTACTTTTTCCTACTTAATGAACCATGCTCCTGGGATGACACACTCTTTTATCTTCAGGATTGCCAGGAGTGCCACCATTAAGTGATGTAGTCATGTGACATCATACTTTACAATTACATCACTTATTGATGGAAGTTCTGCTTCCAATTGTCGTTGTCATAACCCAAGGATTACTTGTATTGCTTTCTCCCAATATGCCATTCCTTTTATTTTTTTAGTTCCAAACAAAGAAATAAGGTGGAAAAGATTAAATTATAATGCAACATAATTATTCCACAGAAATATTAAATTACTTCTCCTTCTAGCTCCTAAAAAGTAAAATTTGATAGCAACATCTGGAAAGTTTCTAGGGACAATTACCACGGTTGTAGGGCAAGGTTGGGCAAGGTTTTTTTTTAATGACCAGGGTCACTGTACATTTTTTAAGGGGGCAGGATTATAATTGTTGATCAGTGAAGCAAAATTGGCAAGATAATATATATATTCTTTTTGGACAGTCTGACATTTTTCTGATTTTCTTTCCTTTCTTTATAGGATGGGAATTTAGGATTTTTAATTTGCTTTATTTATGCAGCTTTGGTTGCCTCTAAAAATGGCAATAAACAGTGTCTCTGGTTTCTGAAAACAGTGATTGAAAAAAAATTCTGAAGATCCCAAAACAAAAGCTTAAGGACTCAATGCAATTTTGGGACCTCATCCAGCCCATTCCTTTTTATGGGGCTATAATCTGTACATTAATGTTCTAAAACAACTATTTCTATCCTTTGAGAGAAAGCAGTCTCTTTCAAGAAATGTTATTTTCTTGTATTTCCAGCATATCTATTAGACATCTCAGCAATCTGCCAGAAGAAATAATAAATTTTTCTTTGTTTTCTTTTGAGAAAGAGAGATACAATACACTACAGTCTGTTGACAATTCTATTTTGAAGTAAAATTCTTTTACAATCTATGATCATCTTTAATTGCTGATATTATGTAAACAACATTATTAATAACTTTCCAAACTCTTTCATAGCAATTTAAAAATAATGAAAGAGAAACTATAGCAGCTTTGCTCATCTGATATTATCTAGCTAGGTGGGACTTAAATTTCCAGAATTCCCAACCAACAGGACTTATGACTGCATTGACTGGGAATTCCATGACTTCACATGTCATATATCTGGAAGCACCTTCTTGAAAAAAACCTGAGATTTACAATTATAAAAACATACAAGGACATTTCTTAACAGATTCAATGAGAACACATAACAAAACAGATTTTTCTTACTGTTACACTGGTCACATGCATAAATTCTCCCTTCCAAAGCTTCTGTTTCTGTGAATTTGGCCAACATTTCAGTCAACATGCACTCAGTCTGATTAAGAGGCACAATCCCTTTATTGATAGAATGGTAACGTTCTGGAAATTCCAGGGAAAGATCCCAGAAGGGTTCCACAGTATTGGATTTATAATTACATGTTATACAAGTGACCTGTCAAGGAAAAAAAGAATATCAGAACATTCCAACAGAGACAAAAAATGTGATTTCTGTGGGCTTATTTTCCAGTCTGAAATGGCCCAAATCTGTAACCATCCGTAGGATATTTTGTTTTAAAATTCTCACACAAAAAGCATTGTGTTATTTTACTATCTTCACACAACTTTCTACTATAAGGGGCGTTGACTTACCTGAACGCCTTTTCTCAGCACGGAGATGGATAATCCACGCAGTGGGTTGAGACTGTATTCCTGGCCAATCAGATCAGTCAGCCAAAGTTGCCACGCCCAGTCCTGGACCATGATTCTTCAGTCTTGACTCGAGCACAGCCATTGACTGACAGTAAGACGTTTTGGCTCCACTAAATATACCCTATTATCCTAGTCTATAAGGGTGGGTGTGGATTATCCATCTCCGTGCTGAGAAAAGGCGTTCAGGTAAGTCAACGCCCCTTCTCCAGCACTGGAGATGGATAATCCACGCAGTGGGACATACCAAAGCCTATTGTCCCTTGGGTTGGGGAATAGACTGGTCCCGTGTGTAACTTTGGTCTAGAACCTGCTGGAGAACCCTACCGAAGGAGGCCTCTGCAGAGGAGTACTTGTCGATTTTGTAATGACGAATGAATGGAGAGGGCGAGGCCCAAGTGGCTGCCCTGCATACCTCTTCAATAGAAGCCTGCATGGCCCATGCTGCTGAGGTGGCAGCACTCCTTGTGGAGTGGGCCGTGATATGCTTGGGGACTTGCAAGGACTCCGCCTGGTACGCCCCAGTGATGCATGCCCTAATCCACCTACCGATGGTAGAGGACGAGACCTTCCGGCCCCTAGTAGCGGGGTGGAAGGATATGAAAAGCGCTTCCGAGCGACGGAATTCCGCTGTGCGCGAAATGTAATGTCTTAGTGCCCTTCGTACGTCCAAGGTGTGCCATTGTTGCTCAAGGGCATGAGCTGGGTTTGGACAGAAGTCTGGTAGGACTATTTCCTGTGATCTGTGAAAAAAGGAGTTGACCTTTGGAATGAATGAAGGGTCTATTCTTAGGACTACCTTGTCCCTGTGAAAATGACACAGGTCCTTCCTCGTTGAGAGAGAAGCTAACTCCGATATCCGTCGAGCTGACGTGATAGCTACTAAGAATGCTACCTTATGGGTCAGGTAGCGAATGTCACATGTTTTGAGTGGTTCGAATGGCGCTCTGGTAAGAGCTTGTAGTACTCGTGGTAGTTCCCACGATGGATACCTGCGCACGGTTGGCGGTCTGATGTTCGCAGCCCCCTTGAGGAAGGATCGTATTAAGGGATGCTTGCCCAAGGATTCACCAGGGCTGGCAGAAAGTATAGTTGAGAGGGCGGCGATTTGCCTGCGCAGCGTGTTTGGCGAGAGGTCCCTCTCTAGGCCATCTAGTAAAAATTCTAGGATCTTGGGAATTGTGATCCCTTCGAGTAACAATTCCTGTTTAGAGCACCATGATTGGAAGCTTCTCCACGTGGCCTCGTAGATACGGTTCGTGGAGGGGCGCCTTGATGCCTGTATGACCCTAATTACACCCTGTGAGCAAGCCCCCTTGGCTAAAATTGACCGTTCAAGAGCCAGACGGCTAGTTGTAGCCATTGTGGCTCTGGGTGGGAGATCTCCCCCTGCTTGAGGGAGATCCTCTCCGGAGGAATCCGCCATGGATTCGTGCGGGAGAGACTCCTCAAGTCTGCGAACCAAGGTCTCCTTGGCCAATAAGGGGCCACAAGGATTACCTCGGCCCTTTCCCGCAGAATCTTGCGTACTACCGCCGGAAGGAGAGGTAAGGGTGGAAACGCGTACAGGAGTCCCTTGGCCATGGGCTCCGTAACGCGTCCGTCTGCTCTGCTCCCCTGGATGGGAATCGGGAGAAGAAGCGAGTTAGGTGGGCATTGGAAGGAGAGGCAAAAAGGTCCACCTGGGGAAGCCCGAAGCGGTGACAGATCTCCCTGAAGATCCTCGGGTGTAGTTGCCACTCCGAGTGATCTATTGTTGATCTGCTCAACAGATCTGCTTGGATGTTTGCCTCCCCCGATATGTGGTCGGCCTTTATGGAGGCCAGATTTTGTTCCGCCCAGGCCCCCAGTAGGAGGGCCTCGGCCGAGAGCGAGCGAGAGTGTGTGCCCCCCTGACGGTTTATGTGGGCCTTGGCTGTCACGTTGTCCGTCAGGACCAGTACGTGCCTGCCTTTTATGCTGCTGTGAAAATGCCTTAACGCTAGGTGAATAGCCCGCAGCTCGAGCCAGTTTATGTTGTGTCGGAGATCCACCGCTGACCAGCGGCCCTGTGTCCACTTGGTCCCCAAGTGGCCTCCCCAGCCGAATAAGCTCGCATCTGTTGTGACTACTACTCTGTCTGGTTCCCTGAAGGGGGACCCCCTGAGGAGAGCTGGAGATAGCCACCACCTGAGGGAGTGTCGTACTCTCAGAGGTATGCCTACCCTCTTCCGGGATGCACTGATTTGCTGTCTCTGAAACGGGAGCATGAACCACTGCAGTTCTCTTGAGTGCAGCCTTGCCCAAGGAACTATTGCTATGGTCGATATCATCTTCCCTAGCAGCTGGGAGAGGCAGACCAGCGTCACTGACTGACCGCGGCTTACCTGTTTTACGGCTTTCTTTATGCTGCTGAGGCGTTCCTGTGATAGGTACACCTTGCACTCCTTTGTGTCTATGACCGCTCCCAGATGGAGTATTCTCGTAGTTGGGGTTAGATGGCTCTTTGGAAAGTTCACCGAGAAGCCGTGGTCCTGCAGCAGTTTTATCACTAACTTTAGGTCCGCCCGAGACTGCTGGGCAGACGATGACTGGATTAGAATATCGTCCAGGTAGCACTGGACTCTGACTGGTACGTTTCTTAGGTGTGCTGCCAGAACCGCCAGAATCTTGGTGAACACCCTGGGCGCTGATGACAGGCCGAATGGAAGTGCCCTGTATTGAAAATGGTGCCCCCTGTAGGCAAACCGTAGAAAGCGGCGGTGAGCCAGAGAGATAGGGATGTGCAAGTATGCCTCCGTGAGGTCGATCGATGCCAGAAAATCCCCTTTCCTTACGCTTCCAAGGATGGAGCGTAGTGTCTGCATTTTGAATTTGCGGTATTTTATGTAGAAATTTAGCCTTTTTAAATCCAGAACGGCTCTCCAACCCCCCGAGGGTTTTGGGACCACGAAGAGGATAGAATAAAACCCCTGGTCTCTCTGGTTCATAGGCACCGGCTCTACGGCCCGTATGTTTAGAAGGTGCTGAACGGCCTCGTTCATGAGCCTTCTCTTTGTTGGGTTTGTGGGACAGGGGCACGGGCGGAAGCGGTTCGGGGGCTTTGAGAGAAATTCTAGAGATAGACCATGACGTATGGTGTTCCTGACCCATACGTCCGTGGTGGTCTCTTCCCACTGGGGAGCAAACCCTGCTAGTCTGCCCCCTATGGGAAGGTCTGGGTGGGAGTCATCTGGTACGGCGGAAGGGGCGGTTGCTCCCCCGAAAGGGCCGTCTTCCCTGCGTTTGCCTATGTCTTGTGTTCTGTCTGTCCCCCTGTCTTTCCCTATCCTGTCTAGCTTGGAAGGGTTGGGAATTTTGAAAGTAGTTGACCCTGGCTTCCGTACGAAAGGATTGTTTCCTTCCCCAGGAGCCGGGTCTCTTGTCCTGCCTTTTAAGCATGTGTTTAAGGACCTTGCGCTTGTCCTTGTTCTCTGTCAGGTATGGCGTTAGTGCCTCACCAAACAGCTTTGCCCCTTGGTACGGAGCCGAAGCCAATTTCCACTTGGATTTGGTATCCGCCTGCCAGTTCTTTAGCCAGAGGATGCGCCTGCTCATGTTGTTTGCCGCCATTGCCTTGGCTGAAAACCTGGTCGCTAAAAGTGTCGCGTCCGACGCATATTCCGTGGCCGCTACCATTTTGCTGAGTTCCTGGTGAGTGCGTATATCCTCCATGGGAACCCGGCCCTGTAACTCACGGAGCCAACAAAGTGTGGCTCTGGTGAAAAAGGACGCGGAGGTAGTCGCCCTGGTAGCCCAAGCTATTGCCTGGTGCGTTCTCCTGTAGTTGGACTCACTCTTTCGGTCCTCGGCTTTAAGAGCCTCAGCAAAATCTCCTGATATGGCCGTGTCCGATATCAGGGGACCTATGGGTTCGTCCACCACCGGCACCTCCAATGTTCCCTCTAGCTCCCTTGCTACGTTAAATAGCTTCCTCTCCGCATTGCTAGGAAGCGGTAGGGAGGTTGGCGCTGCCCACTGTTTCCTTATTGTGTTTAGGAACATGGTCGGGCATGGTATGCGGTGTTGAGTGGTTACCTTTTCGGCGAACGTCGGCTCAGCCTCCGTGTCAACTGTGACAGGCTCCGCTGGTGTCCCATGCCCCAGATGGGCTGTGGCCTCAGCCTTGCGCAGAATGGTAACAAAAAGAGAAGGGTTAAACAGGCCGCTGAAGGACGGCCCTTGAGGTGAGGTGTCCTCCTCTTCCTCAGACATTTGAATCCCTTGTGACGTACCTGGCTGGTCCAGGTAATCTTCCTCGGAGACCGACGAGTCTGAGAAGGAGGAGAGGTCCTGATGGCCCTCCGTTTCCTCCCGATGCCTCGTTTTAAGTCCTAGAGGCTTGGCTTTGGAAGTTTGAGCCCTGGCCTCAAATGCACGGTCCACTGCCTGCGCTATTAGGGTAGCTAGCAGATCCCCCGTCAATGCAGGAGGAGTAACCATTGCCTGCGACCCTGCAGGTGCTGTGGTTAGCATGGTCCTCGGGGTTTCCTGTAACCTCCGTGGGGAGGGGGATCGGGAGAGCGATGAGAATTCGCCTATCCCACCCTCTGTTTGGGACTGTGATGAGTTCCCTAATGACCAAATGGCCCGTGGGGATGAAGGGAGACCCAGCGGTAGATCAGGACCTATCCCCCCATTCTGCCTATTTTCAATTCTGGCCCTTTTCTGGGCTCTGTCGAACTCTTTTTCTAGGGCTTGGTGTCTTCTGATTGCCTGTTTGTCAGCCTTCTTTGATGACTTCCTTGCAGCCTTTCTAGGGGCTGCAGAGGATTCCGAATCCTCTGAAGCAGGTGCTCCAGAGGATGAAGGCGGGGCTCCAGTGGAGGGAATGATTGCTTCCTCCATTCTCCACTAATGCCGGGCTGCAATAGGGGGGACCCAGCTAGTAGGAGAGCTCCAACTTTGAGTAAGGACAGGCGCACTACTGGGGGCGTCTGGAACTCAGGAGCAGACTCTGCAAAATTGTCAGAGTTAGTCACTGTGCACGGATAAGAACAGGCACGCTAATGGGAATGCCTGGAACCCGGCTTGACTATGGTGGGTAAGGACAGGCACGTGACTGGGGATGCCTGGAACCCACCACTAAATCCAAAAGCGTACAGGCCACTAATGGGGGACCCGAAGTCCGGAAGGAGCCAAAGGCAACTAAACACAGTTAGCTATGAAAGGTTCTTATTTACTTTAGATTGAAGACACCAAGTCCTGGAACCCGCAGCTATGTGTCTGATTTGAATGTCTCTGAATGAATAATAGATGCTTTAGTACCCCAGTACTGCTTGCCTATTAATTCACTCCAGCGGCTGAACCTATTCTTCACATGGAGCCTTAGATCCCGTTTGGACAAAAATATGGCCGCCGCTGCCAGGAGACTACTGCGCATGTGTTAAAAGAAGCCTGTGCTAAAGAGGCTGCCTGTGCCACGTGGGTTGTAACGAAGAGCCGCGCGTGCTCACAGCTGTGCAGACAATGGCGCCTCGTTTAAAAAATCCTGAGCAGCCTGGTTAGTGAAAGAAACTGCTCCTTCGCACGCCAGCGAAGGAGCAGTTTCTTTCACTAACCAGGCTGCTCAGGATTTTTTAAACGAGGCGCCATTGTCTGCACAGCTGTGAGCACGCGCGGCTCTTCGTTACAACCCACGTGGCACAGGCAGCCTCTTTAGCACAGGCTTCTTTTAACACATGCGCAGCTGTTTCCCTTAATTAATCTCCCTCCCAGCATGCGTCCCCTTTGTCCTCCGCTTCCCTCGCTAATTGCTTGCCTTTCTGTCTTTTTGTTTTGTTTGTTTTAAACATGAGGGGTTGCCTGAACCTCCCCGTTTGTTTAAGGCTGCTGCCGGCTGCTGGAAGGTGGTTGGGGTTTGGGTTAGGGAGGGGAGATAGGGATTTCCCCCTTTTAAGTGGGGGTGGTTTCCCCTGTAGGGAATGTGACTTCCTGAGTCTTACAATTTAGCCAGGCAATTTTGAGTAATCAATTACATTGAATTAAATTATCTCTAATTAACTTTTAAACTAAGCAATTTCAGCTACTAGAAGAAATCCCCCCCAATGGAAAGGAACTATACCTGCCCAGGAGCCAAAGATTGTCGGTCTTTCTGTATGGCCAGATCAGTCAAGACTGGGGAATCATGGTCCAGGACTGGGCGTGGCAACTTTGGCTAACTGATCTGATTGGCCAGGAATACAGTCTCAACCCACTGCGTGGATTATCCATCTCCAGTGCTGGAGAAGAATCAGTTTTGCTCTGTTGGAATCTGTGTCTAACACAAAGATTATTCTATTAGCATAAATGTTAATTTTAAAATGTTGCTTTTAAAAAAGTCAAACTATTTAACAATTAAGCAGGAATAAGCTGCTTAATTCCAGATCCCTGGAATCACCCAAATATTGCAATGCTGAAATATCAATAGCTGAAATATCAATAGCACGCTTGGGATAGGATACTCTCTCTCTCTCTCTCTCTCTCTCTCTCTCTCTCTCTCTCTCTCTTTCTCTCTCTCTCTCACACACACACACACACACAGAGAGAGAGAGAGAGAGAATGAGAATATATATGTGTGTGTGTGTTTGTTATACCACATACTATACATATATAGGTGTAGTACATATGTGATTGTGTATACAGTATTTGGGGGGATGTTCTATATCACAACAGTCAGTGATATAAAACAGGTTAAAGAAAGAAAATGTGTTATTCAATTTGCTAGGTTTATCAAATCAGAAGACCTGTTGCCACATTCCTCTATGTAAAAAAATAATGATCTAATGATATATGAGCTTCAGCTCTGAGTGAGCCCTCATTATGATCCTCTCCCACAGTTCCAGCATTAGGAAAAGCGGGACTCTATAGATAGAATGAATAAAAACATTAAGAAAGAAATCAGAGATTGTGAAAGATAGCAGAGTTTCTAAGACTGAAGCTCACTTAATATAATGCCAAGGATCACTGCTACATAAGAACAAGTTCATATTTATAAAATATATAGGTGAAAAAAGTATCAAATGCTATTTTAAGAAAAGATAAATGTTTTTGCAAAAAATTCGTTATGGCTTAAAATGTAAAACCAGCTTCACTCTTATCAAATATGCTTTTGAAGAAATGATAAAGTTTATAAAAGACATATGAGAATATACAAGGGTGTATATTCAAGGAAAGAAGAAGCAACAATCACACCCATATAGTCATAAAATACCTTAATAGAAACAAGAATCTGAAGAGGAAGAATCAAGTCAGTACATAAACACACACAAAATTGCCTGCTAAATTTTAAAAGCTCACCTTTGGCTACAACTAGAAAAAAAGAATCATGCAACAACTATACTGCATTAGAAAAACATGTTAATTCTTTTTCTATGTATGAAAATCAGTATTTCTGGCTGGGCAAAGGATTGGATAACATGCTTACCTGACTGAGTAGCTGCCCGTGAAAAATGGTGTTCACCACTTTCAGGACCTGCTTGGTGAGCTTCCTTTGTGGAAAAGGGATGAGGATCCTGCGTTTTGTTCCTTCCGATTCCAACTCTTGCTGCACTTTGTCCAACAATTCACAAAGAAATTCCTGAGCATCTTGCTGATCATAACCTCGAAATGCTGGAATCAAACTCCATACAGAGTGTAGCATGGCAAAAGGAGACACTGAAGCCCACTTTCCAGACCACATAACTCTGAAGAGTGTGTGCAGTTCATGACAAAGAGAGATGTGCTTTGAACTTGTTTCCTTGGGCTGTATTAGTTCTAAACTTTTGCTTATTGAGGACCCACCATTTAAACCAACAGATAGGCTATGCCTGCCAAATGAACCCAGTTGATCATTTCTGCCTGACTCAGTTGGAGTAGATCCAGTGACTAGCTTTCCAGATATTCTAGATTTTCCAATTACAGTCTTAGCTAAGAGTTCTTCAGTTTCACAAAGATCCAGCGTCAGGAAACATTCTCTAAATTTCTGGAGGTGACTTAATACTTGAAGGATAGAGTTCATGTAGCACGTATTTCCTAAATTCTTTAGTCCAGTCACACCAGGAGTCATAAGAGGTTTACGCCGGATGGAATAGAATTGTTTGAATTTGCTACTCTGCACTCGTCTTGAGGTAGGGGAATTTGCTTCCATATCTCTGAACTTCCGAGGAATCAGATTCTCTCTGTGAATGTGCGATAAAAGCCTTGCACTTTTTCTTGGAGGAGTGTTTGCCAGCTCCTCTAACAATCTCCGTTTCATCTCTTGACGTCGCTGCCTGGCCACTTCCTTTTTCCTCTCCAGTTCTTCCATTTGCTTTTTTTGTTCTAATTTTCGTTGGCCTCTAGAACTCTTATCAAACCATGTTCGCAATGCTTTTGCAAGCAACGATTGCCGTCTATACCAGAGAGCTGTAAGCATCTGAGGTTGACCTTGAGGGGCTCGTTGATGGTTGCAAACATCCTCCCCCAAAGCCATTGACCGCAATGTCCTACCACTTCTAGCAGAAGGATCATGCTTCTGACTTTTAACTGCAGACAAAGAACTCCTCAATAATTTCAGGTCACCTTCAGGATTATCATTCAATACATAGTCTTCACAAAGATAACAAAATACATACAGATCGTTTACTTCCATAGCCAAAGGATGTCTGGTCTCTTCAAAGTGTTTAAGTGCATGGTCCTCAATGTATCTTCCACATGCCACATGGGAACATTTTAGGCAAGCCCAAATGGATTCCGTGGTGTTACAGTCCATGCAGTGCCACTTCTGGGGGTTCAGAATGGAATGATCCTGGGCAAGTCTTAGCCGCCCAACATGTTTGCATCTATCCATGTCTTACATAAAACTCCGCTGCTTTAACCTTATAAAATAGACAGAGAAGAATGTAATTATTGCACACAGTCAAAAATATACAAATTCTATAATGTTTGTCAGAGTATCACATATTTGTAGAGCTTAATAGAGTAATAAAATAGAGGAAAGGAGATTGGATACATTCCAGGCATGTATTTTTTTATTAATTATCTAATTACTATACATTAGTTCTTGTGGTTAGAATAAAGCAGCCTGTTGGTAAACTAGTACACTTCCTTGAGCAGTTGGTTGGCCACTGTGAGAACACATTAGATGAATGAGGAGTCTAAACCAGCTGGACACAAGTTATATTCTTACATTTTGCTTGTATATATGTTTGTATGTATGGTTCATTTAGTTAATTCCTATTGTCATATAAAATCTAGTGTTCCAGAAAAGGTGTCTAACATAAGTGTGACTAAAAGGTATGAAAGGTGACAGTGAACATAAGTGTGACTAAAGGGTATGAAAGGTGACAGTGAACAAAATTTAGAAAGTTATAATAAAATTTATTTTTGCTCTTCAGCAAGTTACTGAAGATATTAATGTGGAAAAGGAAGGGGTTTTTACATATGTCTTTTTAAAGAAAACATATAATATGAATAGGCTTGAATTATAGAATGCTTTGCAATAATACGGAGAGTAACGCATTCTTGCTAAATGCAAGAAAAGTTATATACAATGGAACTAAAACATCCATGGGAATTAATGGAATGTTTAGCAAACTGTTCAATACTGAGCAAGGAGTTAAAAAAAAAGATGATATATTAATGGATAATTTTCATCCAATCTCCAACCTTTCATTTTTAGGGAAATTTTAAGAAAGTAGTATACAGCTTTAGATGGCCCTGAAAAAAAGTATATTATCTGGATCTAGATCAGGATAAGATATAATAGTGGGACAGTACTCGTCATATTTGAAGTTGATCTTTGAAATGCTTGAAATGAGATGGTACATCCATCCTTGTCTTCCTAAATCTCTCAGCAGCTTTCTATACTATTGGCATGGTATCCTTCTGGACCAGCTTTAGGGGTTGAGAATAAGAGATACTGTTTTGCAGTGTTCCCCTCCTTTCTCCAAAGCCAATTCCAGTCAGTGTTGATGATATAAATTGAATGCATATCATGAGAGAAGAATATCTAAGTCAACAAGAAGTGCTGTTATCTGTGTGCAGGTTTGCAGAAAGATATCCTTAAATATTTAAGAATTTGATTTTGTAAAAAAACAATGTTCAGAAACTCAGGGTTCTATTTTAATAATTAAAAAAGCATTTTCATGTTATGTATGAAAAATGGGATTTTAGGCTACTATATATTTTTGTTCTCTTTCAAGATTTTAGGAAGTTATCAGTATTACAAGATGATTTCATGAAACTTATATCTATAATCAAAACTGCTGGGAATTGTTCCGCTAGAAAATTTGGCACAGAAATCTAAGCATGTGGCCCAACAATCAAGGGCAGTTTAATTCAAGCAGGTGAATACAAACTTAAAATTAATACCAGAAATTAAGCAAATCATGTCTGGAGAGAAAACATTCTAAGTCAGCGATTCTCAATCTTCGTGTGACGGCGACCCCGTCACACGGACGCGCTGCGCATGCGCCGCTCCCATGCGCGGCGCGCATGCGCGGTGCCGCCCCCTGGGGGGGGGAAATGGCAGATCACGTTGTTTCGCGACCCCCGCAAAATGGTCAATCGACCCCAAATGGGGTTGCGACCCATAGGTTGAGAACCGCTGTTCTAAGTAAATAAAGAGATGTTCTATTGGTAAAATTATTTCATTAAAGCAGGCATGTCAAACTGCCAGCCCATGGGCCGGATGTGTCATGCCGAAACTGCACCCACCCATTGCCAGCAATGGGGAAAAAGTCGCAATATGTCACGTGACGTCGCAGGTTTGACATGCCTGCATTAAAGGATTTCAATTATTGATGTCTTTTCATACAAAATGCTTTTTAAGTACAAATTGTTGTGGATGTTTTTAACAGACTGTTTACTTCTATTCTTGTTATGGTAGAAAGCAGCAGTAAAATGTGCAGATTATTCTAAAATACTCTAGTTACATTGAAGAATGGCATTAAATGATTCAAAAGAAAAATAGTGTGTATTTTTAGGATGGAAGCAAATATAGACAGCTGTGTCAAAGTAATAAATTATACTAAAACACTAAATAGTATTTAAATATTTATCTACAATTCCGAACACTTTAAAAAGGAACTGCATTTATAAATAAAATTAAAGCTGTGGAGTAATAATAACATATGCAAGAAAAATGTATATCAAACAGTTGAAATATAGGGAAATATAGAATTAGTACACTATAAAATATAGAATTAGTATACTATAAATGCACAATATATCTATTTTGAATCTATGATTATTTATATTAGCCTTTTAAGATGCCTAATATCTTTCTCAGACTAATTGTTAGACAATAAGTTTGTCTTCTTCATTATAATATTAATGGAAAACATTTGAAGTATTTATTCTACATAGGTCTGTTACAAGAACTGACATTGGCAAGATGGGAATCAATTATTATCAGGCCTGAAAGAATTGTTATAAAAATATGGAACAAGTGTCTCTAACTTACAAGATTTAGAAAAGATTGACACAAGTCTATTCATTTTAAAAGGTAGGAAGAAAAGGGCTAAAACTCCAACCTGAGTCTGCTGTTATTGAAAGCAGGGTTGAATTTCTGGAGAGTTAATTAGTATTGCTGTGATTGTTGAAATACAATCTCTAACAGCATAAAGTGGCAATGAAAGCTGAGTTACATACAATTTTTATGTTTTGGTATTTTTTTATCAAATTAATTATGTTAAGTGAAATTCTACAAAAGATGGTACATGACTTGTCAGTAACATTCCAAAAAACGTGGGACATATTAATGAGCAGCATATAACAATTTATGCAGTATATTAATGAGAATGAAATGCAAGTAATTGCAACAAAAGAAGCTTCATGTACGGTAATGATTTATTAGTTTCATGAGTACTGTTAAAGTATTTTCCTGTGTTTAGTGATAAGACATGAGTTCTGTCTTCTTGAGGATGAAATGTGGCATATGCTTTTTCAAGGAGAAAAAGTATAGGCAAGACAGAAACATAATTTAAAATAAATAATACTCACCGATTCATATTTAAATATTCTCGTAATTCAATAACCAGAGGCCAGAACATCCCCATTTCAGTCAACAGGAGGTCAATTTTCCTTTCAGCAGCTTTGGATATTCATCAGAAAAAGTAATGTAGTATAAAAGCCCTAAGGAGAGAAATATCATCATGAAACAAATATGCAACTTCTTCATGAAATATTTTTTATTAAACAAATACACAACGCTGCAGTTTTAGAATTTGAACAATTTCTCCAATTCCTCTATTAAGAAAATGTAATTGAAATGGAAACAAAATACTGGTAGTTCTTGGCTTACAACCATTTGTTCAGTGACTGTTCAACCTTACAATGATACTGAAAAAATGAACTTAGTTATGGCTGATGTAGCATCTTGTGATCATGTGATCAAATTTTAGCAATTGGCAGCTTGCCTGCATTTATAACTACGGGGGGGCTTCAACTCCCCCCCAATCTATGCTCTTTTGGCTGCCCTGCACCCTGCTTCGCAGTCCCAGAACCACATGGCTCTAAGCCTGCTTGTCACGCCCCAGGAAGCCTCAGCCTGCCCCAGCAAGCATTCATTCATCCATCTCCTCTCCCAGTTCCTTGCATTGACCTTTTATCTCTTCCTGTCTTCTTTTCGAACCCAGCTTCTTCAACAAACATTTCCTACTTCCCTACTTCTATTCCTTCTTTCCAAAGGCAACGGTCTCTACTTAAAGCTGCATTATTTTTATATCTATATAATCTTTGGCCAATTTTATGAGTTGCAATAAATATGAGTTTTAATGAACTATTTTGATATGAGATGATTGAGAAAACAGCCCTTTGTTGAAAAATTCTATCCTCCATTTAGCTTTGGTTATTTCATGATTTTGGATTATATTGTGCCTGTATAAAGTAATTACAATAAGGATTACTCTTCAATCAGAATAATAACACAGTACATTGAATCCCATTTACAAAGGCAAAATATCATACTTTTGCCCAATAAAAAAAAACAAATTAACAGCACCACCTAATGAAAAGTTTCATCATTCCTCTGGAAAGCACATTTATAGATGTGTCTGATGGGATTTGTTAAGGTAATGAATTCCTTCACACTAAAAGCATCCTTGATAATGTAGTAAATCATCCCACACATTGCTTTGTGCTCACAACTACTGGTAACAAAGGCTATCTTTTCCTTGGAAGATCCTTTGTCTTGGAAACAATCCAATTTATCCTCTGACATTAGCCCTATGGAGAATCTATTTGCATGGGCTTGGCCTCCCACTAAGCAGATTTCAGAAGGAATGAAATCTGCCCCTACAAGGGATCAGTTAACCAGAGTAGGGATACTGAGAATCTTTCATGAATTTTAGTAAAGAATAAAAGCATCAGATAATATTAAGACAGTGGGTGCAAGAGGAGAAAGAACAAGGAACTCTGAAGATTTTTTTCTGAGAGAATGAAAAGTATCTTTTTCTTTCGTGAATATAACTAGTTCTTTAAAAAATTAAATTATCAAGAGATAATCATAAATATTAATAGACGTTAACTACTTCTATCTCCAGAACAAAGTATATCATATAGTTTGTATTTTATTTGTACAATTATCATTTCCAATGAAATAAAGCCTTACATGTCTTGATAATTGTCATTTGCAGTCCTCAATTTACGACCATAATTGAGCCCAAAATTTATGTTGCTAAGTGAAACAGTTAAGTGAGTTTTGTCCCATTTTATCTTTCTTGTCACAATTGTTCAGTTAGTAACATGGTATTTAAGTGAATCAGAGTTCTGCCATTAACTTTGCTTTTCAGAAGATCGCAAAAGGTGATCACATGATCCCGGAACATTGCAACTGTCATAAATATGAACCAGTTGTCAAACATCTGAATTTTGGTCATGTGACAATGGTCATAATTGTGGAAAAAAGGTCACAAGTCACTTTTTTTAGTGTAACTTTTCAGTTGTAACTTTAAATGTCACTAAACAAATGGTTGTAAATTGAGGACTACCTGTACTTTCTGTCAACTGTTCTCTTGCAGTATTCCACAACTGCAGTTTTCTCAGAAGAATGATCTGTTATTTTTAGTTATTGAAGTGTAATATACTGTATATTAATGGCAATGTATAAATAATACCAGAGAGACTACAAAGGAACAGCCATAGCATTTTAATGAATTAGGTTAAATGTAGAGAATCAATTACATTTCTAAAAGATAAATATACATCAGCAACATTCTGTAAAGCTAATTTTAATACCACAACAAACATGTGGGTAATTTATTAAGATCTTTTCCTACATGACTATGTGTATCTGCACTGTTATTTCTCAATGCACTCAGAGGCAACGTTGTAGAAATTACATCCCAAATATGTTGTAACCTTTAAGTAAGAGATCAATTTAAACTTATATTAGTTCTAAAAGAAAGTTATAAGTTATTTCTTTGTATTTCTTTTTCTTTTCTTTTTTTATCTGCATTTTTAGCTTTGCTTTTCCTTTTTATTCATTTCTATCTTAAATATTAGTTTTTCTTATTTTTCTAGTTTTTTTTTAAAAAAGAAGCTACATACCTTTATTAAGAACACCAACTAGTAATATACAGGTAGTTCTCAACATATGACCAAAACTGAGCCCAAAAGTTCTGTTGCTAAGTGAAACATTTGTTAAATAAAATTTGTCCCATTTTATGATCTTTCTTGCCACAGTTGTTAAATAAATCACTGCAGTTGCTAAGTTAGTGACATGGTTGTTAAGTGAATCTGATTTCCCCACTGACTTTGCTTGTCAGAAAGTTGCAAAAGGGGATCAAATGACCATGGGACACTGCAACCATCATAAATATTAGTCAGTTGCCAAGCATCCAAATTTTGATCAAGCGACTATGGGGATGCTGCAATAGTCATAAGTGTGGAAAACGGTCATAAGTCACTTTTCCCAGTGCTGTTGTAACTTTGAATGGTCACTAAATGAACTTTTGTAAATTGAAGACTACCTATATATGTAGAGAGAGAGTACATTGGTAGGAACAGATAAGATGTTGTGCCGAACCCTCCAACTCCTAGGCCTCTGACAGAGGACCAAGCTTGAGGAACACATATACCAACCATATAAATGAGAAAGGAATTTATCCATTTATCTTCTGTTCAATCGTGTCCAATTCTCAGAAACTGCCTAGATAAGTTCTCACAGTTTTCTTAGTAAGGTTTTTCAGAAGTGGTTTGCCATTGTCTCCTTTCTAGGGCTAAGAAAAAGTGACTGGCCCAAGGTCACCCAACTGGCTTTGTTTGTAAAGTGGGACTAGACTCACAGTCTCCAGTTTCTAGTCTGATGCTTTAAACACTATACCAAACTGTTTCTCATTTATTATTTTAATATGCATAGATACATACAGTACATACATGCATGCATGCATGCATACATACATACATACATAGAGAGACAGAACACAATTTTTCACAAATAAGTAAATAGCAGACATCCCATGCTTAAAACCACATTATAAAACACTTAAAAGTATAAAAAAAATCTTTTGTTCAATCATGTCTGATAAATAATACAAAATAGTACAAAAACACTGGGTGTCAAATTTAAAATACTGTGACTATTCAAATATTTTACAATATTGGAAGAAGAAAAAATGAAAAAAAAAAAACCTGTGGGCTGATTTGTTTGATGATCCATTGGTTTGTTTTCTTGCCTGTCCATGATATTTTAGGGAGTTTTCTCCAATACCAAAGTTCAAAATTGTCAATATTTTTCCTATCCTACTTCTTTAAAAGTCCTCAATATGTGTATCATTTATTAGTCCTCTCTCACAGGAAGACTCATATTAGCACATCTGGATGCTCTCCCCTCAATGGTACTGCTAGGAAGATGTAATTGTATTCCTTATCAAGAGCATTTGTATATTTGCTCAGACTTTGAAATTGAGACAGTAGTGCACATGCTTCTGAAATGTCCTGTTTATGGAAGGCAAAATGAATCTCCACTTTAAGTATAAACTATTCAAAATACTGTCATATGTCAATCAGGCATAATGTACTAAAGATTCAAGATTGGGAAGGTTCTAAAATTCTCTACCATAGCTATGATAATTAGGTATTTTTGGACCTGATTGCTTTTCCAGGTATATCTACTGCATGTATGAATGAGCTTTTATTGGATGCTGTGTAATGTATTTTTTAACTTTTGTATGTTTGGTCTATGATCATATTTTAATAATTGCTCCAGTGTAGAACCTGTGAAATAATCTAGCTTGATTTTGTTCCTCATGGGCCAAATCTTTCCCATATTTAAAACAATATGCATTTTTCTTGCTAAAGGATTATTTGTTCATAATTATGACATTCATCTGATAATTTCAACAAAACTGAATTAATTAGAATATAGTGAATGAGATTGCAAAATATTTACTGAGACAGAGAAAAACAATTGAGGAAAACAAATTCAAAGGATAGTTATATTCTACAAAATATTTGAATTAGCACTCTAACATGCCTTCAGAGAATTTTTTTTTTATCGGATGATTCCAAATGTGGAGAGTGATTAAATTACTTTTTACATTTAATTTATATTATTGGTTATCAACATTGCTATACAGTTATGCATCTAATGCAAATGGCAGTTGTAGCAAAGTCAATGACTTTTCTATTGAAATCTGACCAGTATGCTAAAAAATAGTGGTGTTATTCTATGAACTTGTGTAAAAATGGGATAAAAGCATTAAGATGTTGACTTGCTATAGCATATTTATTTATTTATTTATTTATACCGCTTTTAAGTGCAAGCACTCTCTAAGCGGTGTACACCAGTAAGCAATGTATATATATATTTACATTGCCCCCAACAATCTGGGTCCTCATTTTACCTACCCCGGAAGGATGGAAGGCTGAGTCAACTTTGAGCCGGTGAGATTTGAACCACTGACCTGCTGAACACAGTCAGCTAAAGTGGCCTGCAATATCTGGGAGACTGTTTCTATTTTCACCAACAGATGGGGCAAATTGTGTAGAGGAGTTCAGGATCTAATTCTATTGCTTATTTTGGAAAAAAATAGCTCTTCTATTTAATTATATAACTGTACTAAATTTCTCCAGCATATATATATGTTTTGGTGTGGATTATAAATTCTATATTGCTTACTTAGGAACAAGGT